CCGACTTTGAGCAAACGAACAAGCAAAAGGGCTATGTCCAGAGCATTCCTTACATGGATGAGCCCCCCCCGTGGTTTAAATGTCAATTAACACTCAATAAAAACTTACCACCTTCTCCCAGCTCAGGCACGTTTGTACAGTAACGCCACTGTGCGTGTCCACGGCCATTTTTCCAATCGATCGGTGAGGCCAAGCCTTGAGGTGTCGTTGCTTTGGCCGCAAGACAAGCTCCCATTAACCCCGTCCAGTGTGGCCAGCTAATAGGTGTTTATCCAGGGAGCCAGAAATAGATGCGGCGAGTGAAACCTAACCCACGCCGATATAAATGCAGAGAAGATTTTGTTTTGTGGGTGCGTGCCCTGTTTTAATGTTATTTGGCCTTACGATCCTCGAGCTTCACATGAGAGCATGATTGGAGAAAGGGGCCGTTTCAGCTGCGTCTCTAAAGGCAGTGCGACTCAGGTGGATACCTGGAGGTTTTGTTTGCGCACAGAACCTCACGTCATTTTTGTGAAACCTGTGGATGGAAAAGAAGCAGGAGAGAAGGCCTGCTGTTTTTTGTTTTTTTTATATATACCATTTATAAAAAAGATCCCAGGAAGGAGGTGAGAATTTGAGTCTGGGATGCTCGCTTGCTAATCATCCAAAAAGGCCCATGTGTGCGAAGTAATCCTCACCAAGGAAATTCCTGCCTGTGGCGTTATTAAACAAACAGAATCAGTGGCTAAACTCCACACAGATGGAAGAAGGTTTCAAATCAAAAGTGGACTGAGGGGACACAGTTTGTCGTGTTAGCAAAATATTTCATGAACCTCTGGACAGATTGTAATGAAAGTCTTAGAATTAGTAGTGTTCTTGTTGGACTTGATACAAGCATTTTTTATGAATACTCAAACAATGGAACCATTCTCAATACTGGGATACTGGTATTGATATTCCATTTAATGTGTTACAGTTTACGTTTCAAGTGAAAAAATTGTCAGCTCCATGTTTAAGAAATTTATACTAGTTGAAAGAAAATCTTGTTATTTTCATTTATTTTAAAATGTTGCAACGTATCATACTGTATGTATAATTTGAGTAGCTGTAGGCCTATAAAGAAAAAGAGCCACTTTGATCTAAATAAAAAAAATGTGTTTTCAAAGTCATTATGTCTTTGTACGTAATTGGAGTTAGTACTTGGTATTGACAAGTACCCACACTGAAATACTTGTACTTGGTTTGATAAAAACTGGTATTGAGACACCCCCTATAGTTCTCCTATTTGTTAACTGGATTTGAAGGCCTGGTGTCTCTGAACAATGAAAAAAGCACTTTTAATTAGCATTTTTAATCCAAACACATTGTCATATTTGACTAAGTTTAACTGATAAGAATGAAGATTTCTCTCAGTATAGGTACAAAACTGAATTTCTGACCCAATCTAAATCAACACAAATTTATTTAAAGGGACCCCAGATTAGTTTTTACTATTTTCAAACCAAAAATTTAAAAATATATTACACAGACGGGGCCATTTTGTTTACATGCAAAGCATTCTGGGTAAATGATGATGTGGATAGGTGTGAGGCTGCTAGCGAGCTATATCCACCCTGAAGGTTAATCTTGGACAATATCTGATGATCGACTCTTTTAAATGAAACCAGAGAGCGTTGACAGAGAGGAGAAGGTAGAAATGACTCAGCCTGTAACTGAAAATATAGATGGAGGACAACAGAGCTGCTTCATGGAAGAAGAACCTCAGCTTAGCCTGTTAGCCTTCACGCTAATGCTGACGCTATGGCTGTGTTCAAAACGGCAGGCCAGGTCCTCCGAAGGTCGAATTTGTCGGCTGCATACGTCACAAGCGCTGCGATGAAGGCCGTCCAAAACCGAAGACTCCTCCGATGCGGCCGACAAATACGTCCTTCCTTTGGACCGAATCGAAGGACAGGTCTGATGGACCCTTCCCGGCCCAGCATATCCCATAATGCATTGCGGCCCGACCAGAGATTTTTTTTATGCTAGTAATGGCGGACAAAGCGAGAGAAAAGAATATGTTTTAAATAAAAATATGGCGATATAAAAATTAAAAAATTTTAGCTGTTGTAATTCTAATACTTTTATCATTTGTATGGACGTGTTTTTAAATATTATTTTTGTTGTAAAAAAACGTGAAATAAACATGCACCTACAGCGGGTCAATTAGTTCTTCAAATGTTACCTTTAAGTTAATTTTACAGTTTTGTGATATTAATAATGCTAATGTATTGATATTTTTCTAGTTTTGATTTAAGTTTGCTTGTTTAGCGTCGTCACAGTTGCTAGGAGACATGATGTATGCCGGGGTAAGGAGGGGAGGCTAGACCGTCCAAATTCACAGCCTCTTTTTTTCCGGTCTTCCCGGTCTGCCAAGGACCCGGCCTGCCGCGACCGGGGAGTCTGGGTCCTCCGGAGGACCCGGCCTGTCGTTTTGGACACAGCCTATATTGCCTTATATGTATTAGCTCAGTGCTAGCGCGACAAACAAGCTAAACTGAGGTCCTACATCCATATTTTCAGTTACAGACTGAGTCATTTCTACCTTCTCCTCTCTGTCAACGCTCTCTGGTTTCATTTAAAAGAGTCGATCATCAGATATTGTCCAAGATTAACCTTCAGGGTGGATATAGCTCGCTCACACTGAGGACCTATCCACGTCATCAATTACCCAGAATGCTTTGTGTGTAAATAAAATAGCTCTGTCCATGTTAAAATATATTAAAAAAAAAATGATAAAAACTAAACAGCCTACAGTATTTTACAGTCTTTATTTTACAGTTAAAATATATGTTTATCAAATAAAGTCTAATGTTACAACTAATCGGGGATCCCTTTAAATGTTTGTGAAGCAATAAAACCCTAAATGGTACCATTAATTCTGCTTTTGTTGAGCTCTTAACAGCTGATAATGTTTAAAAACACACTCTTGTGCTCCCATTTTCTCATATCGCCCGTAGAGCTTCCACTGAGCCCTTGCCCTATAAGTGGAGGAAAAGTTAAACAGATTACATAATTAGTCAGTCTGGATAAAACCATGTCACACCTACAACACATACAGCTGGACTATGAGCTCATTTTGTAACTAACTAGCTGTCAGAACTGGTTTTCACGCAGGCCCGACAGACCAAAAATGCACGAGTCCCTTCAGCGAGCGCATTCTGCTGCATCTTACTGAATGGAAATGTTTACCAAATTACAGTACATAAATCCGTACTTGGAAATGCTACCTTCACACGTTCCAAATGGAAAAAATGCTAGCGTGTGTGCAAGCTTTTGTTTTTGAACATGTGTATATGTCCAAGTTTTTGTTTGCTACCCGTAGCAACGAGGGATATGTGTGCAATTTAGGAAACTTCTCGCTTTATTTGCTAATGCAAATCACCGTGAGGTATCTGTTATGAAGCCGCAGTGTTCCCCAATAAAACCTAATAAAAACCTGATGAAAACTGCTTTTCGGATGACTTTCCTCTTTGTGCAGTTGTTGCAGATTTAGAACCTAGATAATGAAGTTAGGAACTTAAATTTTCCCCATCTGAGACATTGATGTCATCAGCTTTATTTTGCCTGCCGTTCAGAAATATTTCACTTTATGCCCTGTTTGTATTTATTTTGTAGGTCATTATCATTATTAATGGCATGGACTGACATTTATGAGGAAAGACCCAAGTTAATATGCTCGTTTAATACCTCAAGTGTTTGTGTTTGTTTTAAAGCTAAGAAGTGCAGGAATTCTTTGCAGGGTGAAGTGGAAACAAGTAATCATCAGAATACACGCTGCAGATGTTTTTGTTTTATACAGAATAAATGCTGGGCCGGATTAAATGTTCTTTCTGCCTCCAAAGAAAACTTTGTTTGACCTTCTACAACTAAAGGTTGTCTGAGGTCCTTGTTGAAGTCTGCCACCTAGTGGTCGCCTGAGGTAGTGCTTTTCATTTATTTAGTTTGGACTGGGGAAAAATGGATATTCTTATTTAAAATGGTCTGGATTTCTCTATGTGTAACTTAATACTGATGAATATTTGGGATGCTATTTTTATAGCAACTCGACTGTTTGAGAAATTCATCCTTATTTGGGCTTGCCAGAAAATGTTCAACATGTTTTGTTGCCTCCAGAAATATTTATAACTTAATAGTAGTCACGATGTTTAAAATCACGACTTAGTACCTCATAATCATCATTTAGTATCTTATAATCATGACTTTTTCTCTCTATGACACGTCTGTCTTATGGAGGTAAATTTGTGTTTTTATGATTCAATCAAACAAAAAGCATCTTCAATCAAAAAAAATAATTTCAATCAAAAAATTTTTTTCAACCAAACAAAAAATAAATTCAATCAAAATTAATATTTTCAACCAAAAAAAATAATAATTTCAACCAAACTAAAAAAGCAGTTTTAATATAAAAAAATAATTTCAACCAAAAAAAATGTTTTATCAACCAAATAAAAAAAAAACTATTTCTATCAAAAAAAAAAACCTATCAAAACGTTTTTTGCAAAAAAAAATTAACCTTTTGGCTGAATCTCAAACTTTTGGTTGACGCTTTAAGTTTTTGGTTGACTTTAGTGAAGGAAACAAATCTGCCACTTCTGAGTATGGCAGGCCCTTTGAACATAAAATCGGCTTTACAACTTTACAGATATATGAAATTCGTTTATGAACAGTCGTATTTGAGATATCGTGAATTGTAAATCATGGATGTTTGACGCTTCAGATGACAAATCCACGGACATCATTCAGGACATCTGGAGTTACATTTTGACTTGCCAAAATTCCAGATACCTTGAATTGTTCTTCGACACATTCTGACTAGTCAGAATATAAATGCAGATATCTTAAATTATTATTCAGGATAGTCAAAATGTAATTTTTCTTAATGAAAACAGATATCTAAAATCATGTTTACTAATAGTCAGACGAGACCGATTTTATGTTAAAACGGCCTACCATACCGCATTATCATACCTTCTGGTCCATCGGGGCCACCGTAGAGGCGTCATGTGACAGCTGCAAGATGTCAACATTACTGGGCAAAACTAATTCCTGAAACCTCGTTGGTTCTTTACGTTAATGAATAAACATGCTTTTGTTTTCTCCCTCCGAAAGAAGACCTGGATGTTAGCTGTTTGTTTTATTCTTGTCACCGAGCAGGTTTGTTCTTTAGTCTGTTTGACCGGAAATATACACCTAGCTAGCTGAGCTATTTTAGCTGTGCCTATAGCAGCCAATCTTAGTGATTTATTATTATTATTATTATTATTATTATTATTGTGTTTTTAATCTGACTACACTGTGCACGGGTGGTAAAAACAGTTCCTGGAAAAGGGTTTAATAGATATTATCTGTTTCAATATCCAAAGCGTTTGTTTTGTATAAAAATGTGGTTTTAGCATCATTATGGTTGTGTTTGTGTTTACAGGATGGCTGTGTCCCACACTGGTCAGTCTTCTCTTGTGTCCAGTCTGGCCACACTTCTCCGTAACAACGGTACGTTGCAATGACATTAAACTTTTTAATGCAAGAATAGTTTTTATTTATTTATTTATTTTAATCTGTAAAATAGGGCATCATGTCAAAGCTCTAATATAAATAGAAACTAATAGCAAATGAAGAATGTCCAGCTGTTTTTGCTGTAGAATTAAAATAATAAGCACGTACAAATAAGACTTTATGTTTGACACAGCTGTAGATTCTAGATTTGCAAAGCTTTGATAGAAAAAGAAAAATGTAAATATTCAAACATTTACAGTTTAAGAAAGAGAAAAGCGGTTAAAAACCCTGAAAAAGCTCAAATTTGATCAAAAAGATTTAAAGGGATCCCTGATTAGTGGTAACATTAGACTTTATTTGATAAACATATATTTGAACTGTACAATAAAGACTGTAAAAATACTGTAGGATGTTCAGTTTTGTAATTTTTTAAAACTATATTTTAACACGGACGGAGCCATTTTATTTACACACAAAGCATTCTGGGTAAATGATGACGTAGACAGGTCATCGATGTGAGCGAGCTATATCCACCCTGAAGGTTAATCTTGGACAATATCTGATGATCGACTCTTTTAAATGAAACCAGAGAGCGTTGACAGAGAGGAGAAGGTAGAAATGACTCAGCCTGMAACTGAAAATATGGATGGAGGACAACAGAGCTGCTTCATGGAAGAAGAACCTCAGCTTAGCCTGTTAGCCTTTGTGCTAGCACTGACTCTATATTGCCTTATATGTATTAGCTCAGCGCTAGCGTGACAGACAAGCTAAACTGAGGTCCTCCATCCATATTTTCAGTTCCAGGCTGAGTCATTTCTACCTTCTCCTCTCTGTCAACGCTCTCTGGTTTCATTTAAAAGAGTCGATCATCAGATATTGTCCAAGATTAACCTTCAGGGTGGATATAGCTCGCTAGCAGCCTCGCACRGATGACCTTGTTGATGTCATCATTTACCCAGAATGCTTTGTGTGTAAATATAATGGTTTCGTCCGTGTAAAATATTTTAAAACTTTTAGTTTAAAAATGATAAAAACTAAACATCCTACAGTATTTTTACAGTCTTTATTTTACAGTTAAAATATATGATTATCAAATAAAGTCTGATGTTACAACTAATCGGGGATCCCTTTAAAAAAAGAGAGATTTGTGAATGCTTAATGCTGAACGATTTTTGTAGAAAAATAAAGATGTACAAAAACTTGTAAATACTACAAAAAATCTGAAAATATCAGAAAAGTTTCTAAGTCGTAGCTAAAGCTGAATCTAGCACAGGAAGAGGCAGAAAAAGCATGTGTTTGCTAAATGAAGCAGTTAAAAGCTAAATGTATCACAAAAAGGTGAATTTAGCTGAAAATGACTAAAATTAGCCAAGTAGCTCAAACTGCAGAAAACAGATGAAAAAAAGTATAAAAAACTCAAGTGCTAGAAGAAAGGTCAACAAACTTCATTGACCTTTCTTCCAAGTCTTTGTTTTATGCAACAGTCCAAAATCACCAAAACCTGTTTTTAAGTAGAAAAACCTCATTCGTAAGGAAGGCTTGCAGCTGCTTTCAGTTTAGCTGTTTTTACTGGTAACAGCTAAAACATAATTTAAACATTGTTTTCAAATGCAACGTTCTACTAAGAAAGGGAAAAAAATCAATTTATTCTGTTAAACTTACACTACGTCCAACACATACAATCAATTATTGATATTTATAATAATAATAATTTTATTTGAAAAGCGCCTTTCAGGACACGGGAGGGGATGGAGATGTGTGCGAGGTCGGACATGTAAGGAGGGGCAAGATGGTGGACAGATTTTATAGATTGACTTTATTGAGCCTGAAAAGAGCTGAACGTTTAGATGTGAAGGACATGGTTAAACTTTGAACAAAGCTACAAGAGGATGAAAGGAGTATAAAAATTAAATTAGCGCAATGGCTGAAAACAGCAGAAAGATAGCTGAAAAAGCATAAAAAGGGCGAGTATTGGGGGGAAAAGTTGAAGGAGGTTAAAATTAGGACAGGAAGTTAAAGTGCAGGAAAGATTTAACTATTTTGAAGAATAAGGTTGTTGAAGACAGCTCTATTAATTTTTAATGAGACAAAATGTGGCCTAAAGAGCTTAAATATCTCAAAGTATAACCTGCTGGAACAACCTGTACATTTTGAAATATGTTTTGCTGAAATAGTACAAAAATTGTGGAACAAGTTGCGTGCGGTTCATGTGCACACAGGAAGTTACTGCATCCTAAAATAAAGACCTACCCAGTGGTTTTCCTTGGTTCATGAGATATTTTGCTGACAGACAAACAGGGTTTACTCCAAAGTTTGAAGCAAAGATGTTGCACAACGTGGAACAACTATCTCACCAAATAATCTAAGCTAAAATCTGTAAAACTGACTGAATTAGAGCCACTCTTGTGTTTTCTGTTGTCAGTTGTTGTGGCGTCCATCTTGAATCAGGTTGACACCAAATGTGACTCGGTTGTAGTAAGAAATCAATTAAAGTTCATGGTAAATTATTAACCCAGACTAGATCATCCTTGAAGAATATTAGTAAACAGCGTACACTTTTGAATAATAAATTTTTCTAATCCGTTTACCATGAAGCAGCTGCCTGTCTTTTTGTGTCAGAGTACTGAGAAGGTCCAGTTTGCTGAAACGCTCAGAAGTGTTTATGTAGAATGAAAACGGAGCTGCTCTGCTCTGCAGGCGACGTGGTGCTGGACGGCAGCAGCACTCTGACGCTGCCGGCTGCCAGCCTGCAGCAGCTGACTCGGCTGTTTGAGCAGTACCTGCTGTCTCGGAGCCAGCAGCACGGGTTCCTGGCGCTGCCCTCGCACCCTGCCGACACCGCCGCCCTGTTACAGCTGCAGTTCCTCTTCGACGTCCTGCAGAAGACCGTCTCCCTCAAGGTGGGCTCCCTTCAGGAACTGTTTCATTGACTTCAGCCTGCATGAACGGGTTTGTCCTGTTACCGGTGGGTTGGCGGGTTCGAATCCTTGCTCTGTTCGTCTCATTTGTTGCCTCGTTCAAGATTTAAAAATATCACAAGTGATCACGCTTAAAGTTGTTTTCAAGGTTCCACTAAAAAGGCTATATCTCAACCTAAGCTGTGTGAACGTAACATCAGCTCATGGCGGCACAGTTGGTAGAGCTGTTGCCTCTCAGCAAGAAGGTTGCTGGAACGAGTCTCGGCCAGAAACCTCCCTGCGTGGAGTTTGCATGTTCTCTCCATGCATGCATGGGATTTCTCTTGGTACTCCGGTTTCCTACCATGGAGCAAAAAGCTCACGAGCCAGAGCAAACCACATCATCTGTAACACATGGTGGATGAAGTGTGACGGCTTGGACATGCATGGCTGGATGGATTCAGAGGTATTCAGAGACAAACTGTGAGATCAGATTCAGCCAAACTGATAGGTGGTCGTTTCATAATACAGATGGACAATGACCCAAAACACAAGCAACCCTGGAGTTGAATATTTAAATTTATCACCTTCACAAATGTTTGTATTGCTTTTCAATATGTCAAAAAAAGATGAAGTTAGTCTTCTGGACAGTTTGTTCTTTAATGAAACGCTTCGTCTCTCCTCCAAGAGACTTCTTCAGTCTGAGGATCAGTGCCTCCACATGGTGGACAAACAGTTTTAATGATGACAGTCAAAACTGTTTGTTCACATTCAAAAGGGGACCATCAGCCTAACAATAGATCGTTGGTGCCCTGATTATCTCTATTGCTCACAGAGGGTTGAGTTAAACTCACAGTAACCACATTGTAAGAGGGGGACAACTGGACACGAAGGCCTCCACCTCTGTTTAATGGTGGACGGTTTTTCTTCACAAAGATGGCTTCCTTTACTCCTCTCAAACCAACGTTCCTCTCTATCAAGAATGAGAACATCTTCATCCCTGAAAGAGTGACCGCTGGCCTGTAGATCAGTGGTTCCCAACCTTTTTAGACTTGTGTAACCCCGAGCCATTTTGTCATACCACTACTACCCCTTCAGTCAAACGTAATGATGATTCTCCAAAACTATAATGTACAACAGCTGATTATTTATTGAAAATTATTTATTTAACACCCAGAATATTTAATTCTCAGGCATTTCATTTTTTTACTCAAATTAAATATAAAAATAAAAACGTTGCCTTGAACGTGATTAAGTAATAAAATAAATAAACCAGGGAATGGCTGGTGCAGAAAACGGCAGCGTCCAAAATAGTGTGTTCCATGAGATTCCACGTTTTATACTGGATTCCATTTTGTGTCAATTCCATGATTCTGCATTTTCTGCATTACAGAAATCATAGGGCCCTACATATCAGTCTTTATTTATTTACTTTTTTACACACCTGAGGAATTTTTCCACATACCCCCTGTAATATTCTCGCGCACCCCAAGGGGTACACGCACCTCCGGTTGGGAATCATTGCTGTAGATGAGTGTAATGGTACGTTCACACCGAACGGGTTTTGAGCGGCAGGAGTGACCAATTCACATGCAAAGTCTATGGCTACGTTCACACTGCAGGCAAATCTGACCCAAATCCGATTTTTTTGACCCATCTGACTCATATCCGATTTTTTTATGACAGTCTGAACGAGACAAATCCGATTTTTTCAAATCTGACCCAGGCCGTTTCAGTATGTGGTTTTAAATCGGATATATATCTGATGTTTTCAAAGTGACTGCAGTGTGAACGCTCATGTCACATTCATCTGACTTTTTCATCAGGAGGAGGGGGTGAAGGATCGATAAGACACTAACCTCAAGTCTCGCTGTTTAAATCTGCAGCTCCGTGTGTTTACAGCTCCAAAACACAAGTCCAGTTGCTTCATCTTTTTACTTTTCATTTTCCACGTAGATAGTTTGATAATAACATGTCCAGCCTGGGTCGCGGAGAGTATCGATCCTAACGTTCGATACTTGGTCGATACTTTTTTCCAGCTCGTAGATTCGTTCAAAAAAAAAAAAAAAAAAAAGCTTCATTGGAGCATCCCGGTCAGAGGCAGCTTCAGATATAAACACTGACTAAAGAAGCAGGTCAGATAATAATTTAATCGGCTCTGATTAAACAACATCTGAGTCGATGTGCAAAAAGTAGTGTAGCATCCATGCTAGCTCTGTAAACAAACAAGCCGGCTGATGAGACGTCACGTCTTTTACTGCGCATGCGTGTCACATCATTGCTGTGTAGCGTTCACACAGGGGTCTGATGCAGGTCACATTTAAAATGTAATGTGAACGTTCACACAAAAAGATGGGATTTTTTCAAAAAATCGGAACTGAGCATTAAGACCTGCAGTGTGAATGTAGCCTATGAGGACGCGCCTCTAGGGGTCGTGCGTCGCATCACGTACGTTTTGGGCGGCGCGCAAGGAAGGCGGAAGGGGCGCAGAGCAAATCGCCTCTAAATCATCTGGTGAGTTAATTATCTGCTGTGCGCAATGTTCACTTGCTTTTTAGTAAATAAATTAAAGCCATTTTCTTTTATTTTATCTTTATTCATCCGCCGAGGACACGCTCCTCCCACACCTCGCTACAACCGCTGCTGCTGCTTCTCGTTCTGGTCTGAACACTAGTGCGTTCTTCGGTCTGAACACTAGTGCGTTCTTCGTTCTGAACACTAGTGCGTTCTTCGGTCTGAACATAGTGCATCCAACGAGAGGTGTTTTGAGCTTTTTGGCGGCTCAAAAAGCGTTCGGTGTGAACGTAGCATAAACTGTAGAGTCCTGGTCTGATGATGTAGTTCTTCTGTGCTGGCCCATTCTTTTGAACAGTGGCTGTTTTGTTTCCCCGATGTATAACTGGCCCTCCTAGCACTTATACAACATTACTCTGTTTGTGCCGAGGGGACCAGATCTTGGGGTGAATCGATCTTTCACCCCAAGATCTGGTCCCCGGGCACATTCGTTAAAAACTGTCCAGAAGACCCACTAAACTTTTTTTTTTCTACCTGGATTACTGAGATGCATCAGGACATTTTCAATATGAGTGCATTCTTATGGTAAAGTGGACATAAGCCCAGTGATTACTTTGTGAGAATTTGATTTAAGTACTTCTAGTGGTTCGTTAATTATTTTGTGCAAGCTACCCTAAACAATATTTCCTCTCAATAATGAAACATCATCAAATGTCCTGTGCCACTCTGCCCCCGTGTGTTGGACAGAAGATATACAGTATTTCTTGTCATTTTTCCTGCTGCTGATTAGAGGCCTTGTAATAATAATGCATTTTATTTATAAAGCGCCTTTCAGGACACCCAAGGACGCTGGTAGATATGAAACAGTTGACATGTATGTTCACATTTGGTGACAGATTGTGTATCCTAAACCATTTTGCTACCAATTATCTTTTACCTCATGCTGTTTGACAACTGTTTGAGTCCTATTTTTGTAATCTAAGATTAAAGTCGCAATCCTAACTTTTCTCCAATTCTGAGGGAACAAAAATCAGAACTCATGAAAAAAAAGTCTATTTATATGTTTTTTGCTTTATGGCCCTAAACCTTTTCTGTACAGACCTGTGGTTTGAGCTAAAAGCTATTTAAAAAATTATAAGTTTGAACAACCTTGGTTTATTTGTCTAAAAATTCTTATTCTACAACTAATTAAGCTCTGTGATAGACTTAGTGAACTGAGAAATCAAGCAAAAAAAAAAAATACAAGTAAACTATAGAGTAAGTGATTGTATATTAGTAGCAGAAGCTAAAGCAGTATGATTGAATGTTGAAGAACTTTTGCATTTTGAGAGCTTTCCTCCAGTAACCTGACCTTCTAAGTCTGAAATATAAGGTTCCTGTGATTATTACCCACTGAAGTCCTCCATGAATGTCCAGATGCATCTCAGTAATCCAGGTAAAAAAACAAAAACAAAAAAAATTGTATAGGTCRTCTGGACGGGTTCTTCTCTAATGTGGGTGGAGTGATACTGGCAATAGCAGCACTGTAGGAGGGGACACTTTCAGTTGTCCCCCTCCTACAGCGCTGCTATTGCCAGTATCACTCCACCCCCTGTTAACAATAAGTGTTAATTAGGTGTCAACGATAGCCATGTGATGTGAGTATCAGTCACATGGAGGCAGGGCTTAAAAGCCTGAATTTTGCCTGAAACTCTCAGACTGAAGAAGTCTCTTGGAGAAGAGACGAAACGTTTCATTAGAGAAGAACCCGTCCAGAAGACCTACACAATTTTTTTCTTTTTGTTTTTTTTTCTCCATGAATGTCCTTCTCTGTTTTGTTGTGTAGGATGTAGGAAATATATTTCAAGATTAGCTTGTAATCTTGTTCCTGCCGCCTCTCTGCTGGATCTGTTCTGTTCATGGAGCTCGTGTCTCTTTGCGTTGACTGCTTTTGTTGCATTGTTTGTAGTACAACTTGTGTATAAAATACACTGCTAGAGGAATAGTTCACCTTTCTGTCAGAAATCATGTGCCGTCTAAATATTCTGGATTATTAATAACGTTAAGAGTCTCTTTAACAGTAATCTGTGCTTGTATGCAGCTAATCCACCAACCAGGAGTGCACCTGGACTCTGTGGTGAAAATTTTCCCTTTTAAGTCTCTCAAGTGTTTGGAGGTAGTTTATGAGCATCTTTTTCATGCATCGTCTTTTATTTAGTATCTGGTCATGAATGACCTCTTTGTGTTTGCTCCTCACCAGCTGAAGAGAATCCCTCCACACCTCCTGGAGGGACTGAGAGGAGTTTATTCTCAACTGGAGGTTTTTATTTGCACAAAAAGCCTCAGCTCCCTGGAGGTACGTCCATATTCTTCTACTTCTTCTTCTTATTTTTTTTTAATTATTTTTTGTTGTCCACATGAGTCTAACATCAAATGAAGTATTTCTGTGGCTGCTAAGAATTTTTTTTTAATTTTATTTATTTATTTATTTTAGGAGCTGCTGTCGACGTGCGGAGGCGACCTGAGCTCTGCGCTTCCTTGGTTGGAGCTTCACACCCTGAATTTCAGCTACAACTCCATCGTCTGCCTTGACCAATCAATAGTACGACAGACCAACACTTACGTCTAAACCCGCTACTGCTACCTTAGATACTTTCTCAGAATTTGCTAACAAAGCCTCGCTAACACTGAAGTAATAAACGTAAAAGAAATTAGCAGAAGCTCCCACTAAACAAGTAAAAATAGGCAGAAGCAAACAATAAGAGCTAAATGCTAACCGCTAAAACGACTGCCACTCAGTCTGTCACATGTCATCGTCTCCTTCAGGCGGAGGACTGACTCAAACGTGTTGATGTTAGTTTGTTAGTTAGCTGTTAGTGGACGTAATGTTGGCAAAACTTAATTTAGTGGATGCTAATTGGTTTGCTAACAGGTTTCAGAGTTAGTGGAAAATCTAACTTGCTAAATCAGGCATGGGCAGTCCTGGTCCTGGAGGGCCGCAGCCCTGCATGTTTTACTTGTTTCTCTGCTCCAACACCTGATATGACTGAATAGATGATTATCAGGCTTCTGCAGTATGGAGGACCGAAACTGACATAATTAGAAATAAAAGCAGAATTATATGAACCACTAAATAAATACACTCAAAATGCATCAATTACTTGAAAAATGGAGAACTTTATCTCCTGTTTTATATTTTAATTGACTTTCATATTTCTTTTTCCAGGTTAGTTCAAATAAATTAGTTTATGTATGAACACGTAATTTAAAATTTATTTTAAATATAT